AGTTTCCAATCGTAGTCCTTATTTCGTCGCGTAGGTCTGTGCCGATTGTTCCGATCCGTATTTCTTTCTTCGGTATTTGCAACTTTATATATTTTTTTCAGGACGGCTTGTTGGCCTGGGGACCATCATGCACAGCTCTGTTTAGTGTCCCGCGCTAGCACTAGGACAGTGATCAACCGCTACTAACATGGAGAACAGACACTCGGGTTTGGTGAAGCATTTCCTCTATCACCGTACTTTGGTTACCGCGCCAGTGTTCGCGTCGCACGTCTTCACTATGATCTTGCCGGATTGGCAACATTGCTAGACTAGGTATCCCGCGCCTTCCAGGTTGTCAACTCACCATTTTGTAGCCCATCAAGAGGCACCACAAATATTTAGCGTTAGCGTTAGCGTTGTTATGATATACTTCGTAGATTGGATACTAGCGACACTCACGTCTCTTCTGAAATTCTCAGTTAGGCTACTTTCAGGAATAATGCTGGGGAGTAAACATTGGTTCCAATCTAAACCAGAGTAACAGAAGCATGACTGTCGCTATTCCCGGCCACGCCCATCTTTACCATAACTAGGGATAGGGAAGGACTTAGCGACACCCTCATAAGTGCTACGGAGTTGGAGGGTTGGGTAGGGTATTCGGTTAGGATTCACCTCAAGTTGGCGATGGAACCAAAAGTATGCATTGTTTATTTGTTGTTTATTAAATCTCTCGATAGCCGGCTATCGAAAGAACATATTCATTTTGTTTAGTGATCATGAATTTTAAGAGTCATGACGAAGAGCTTGGGATTAAACCCATGATTTTCTGCTCAGTAAGCAAAAACGATCCCTCCAAGGTCATCGAGCTTCTCACAATCCACAGCGCTTCGCGTCAAAGGACGTAAGGGGCACCACAAATATTTATATAAACGAAAACTGAAATCCAACAATATTCCCAAGTCACCTACAAAAGCTCAGGAATTTGATTAATTGAAGTGTATGTTTCGAAAATTTCTATATAAACAAAACATAAATTCGTTGTTTTTGCTTCAAAATTTTTTGGGAACATATGGCCAATGTATTTCTGGAAAGATGATATGGCCTCTTCTGAATTGTCCATTAAAATCTGAGAGAAACTGTTGCGGGGGAAAATTATGACCCATGCAGCCAGATAGGATTTGAACCGGTTAATCTGGGAGAACCGGGAACTAACCGGTAATCGAAAACAACTGGGAAAATCCGGGAAATAACCGGGAATGTGATTGCAATCATAAACTATATTTGTTATACCTTCATAGACCGAATTTTGTAGAACACATGGCATCGCAAAACCGTTTTGAAGTAGCAGTGTCTGAAATAACTAGATAATTCGTGTGAATCTTTTCACACGATATCTTCGGAATTGTCTTTGGATTTTCACTTGAATCATTCCAAAATGATTTTAGATCTTATTACGTTGTTGTTACTTTTAGCTCTTCTACTATTGGATCACTTTCACTTACACTAATTCACTATTCACTAGTCAAAGTTAATAGTGAATTCGTGAAAGTGAAACAACCGTAGTAGAATTAAAAGGAAAAACAACGTAATAAGGTATAACATTATTCTACTAAACCGCTCATCAACCCATTTAGATGAATTCAGAGTTACTTTCGGGATTCCTCACAATAATCCTTGCAATACTCTTATGATTCACCCCGGTTTTCTTTTGAAATTTGCTCCATAACTCTCTCGGGATGCTCTGTGGAGCACTTTAGGACTTTCTTCTTGAATTAACTCAACAATTAATCCACGGATTTTCAAAAATTCTCGTTAGAATTTGCATAATTTTCTCTCTCTATTCCCTTAACAATTCAGTTGAAATGTCTCTCAGGATTCCCTTGGGATACTCTTTAGAATTTAGAAAACTTGGAATTCTCTAAAAAAAAATCCCAAACGATCCTCAGAATTGTCTTGGAATTCTTATCACAATGAAAATGATCTAGAAAGTCAGGATTTTGCTTAATTTTGGTATTAACCTCAGCTTTTCAAAAGTATTCTCCCAAAATTCCATTGGCATTAACTTCAGAATTCTAGAGTTCATCAGAAATCCATTGAAGTTCTTCTCAAATTTATTTTGAAATTCTCTACGGAAATTCCTTGCAATCCTTCTCGGAAATCCCGTGGAACTCTCTTCATAATATCCCTGAATTGCTAATCAAAATTCGTTTTGTATTCTTCTGAAAATTTCTTTGAATCCGTCTCAAAAATTCCACTCAAAATTAAAGAAGTCTTTGACATTAGAATTTCGATTCGCTTGAAATTATTGTCGGCATTATCAAGGAACTCACCCCTCATAATTCACTTTGATTGATTGATTAACACTGCAGAGATGTTCAGCCGCAGCCTAGTTTGTCTCTGGAGAGAGTGAGAAGGCGTCTATAGAGGCCGACTTGGCCGAATAATACGTTGTGACATCCTTTTGAATTCTTTTTCCTGAAGTTCTTATTAAAATTTCCTTGAAGTTTTAGTCGAATTCTCGTGAAATTCATCACAGAATTTCTTTAAAGTAATCCCTAGAATTCATATGGAGTTCTTCTAAAATCTCATTTTCAACAATCTTTTTTTTTTTTGACCGGCAATTGAGAGAATTATTCAGTGGAAAGATACAAGGGATTTTGAATGAGGAACAAGGTAATCTCGTCTGACGTGTATTGTTGAATTTCGGCTCAATGAACCATTTGGCCTTCGGTCTAATCGCATTTCGGGGGTCGGTCTGTAAAAATGTTTTGCCCTTTTTATTTCGAATCTCGGCTATGCTTTTTGACGTAGGACTACGTCTGTGATTTCTATATGGGGGTGCACTTTGTGAAAACCGAAAATGGAACATGTAACGAAATTATGAAAGATTTTGAACGTTAATAACTCTGCTGCCCTGGACCAATTTCAATAATTTTATCACCAATCGCTCAGAAACGTTTCTACGCATCTGTAAAATTTAAGACTTTCCCTAACACAGATTTCAAAGTTGAATACCATCCGGTCTCACCAAACGGTGTTTATTCAATCACCGCGTTGTTAGTGCTGGTGTTCTCCAGTACACAACGAAAGGCTGCCTGCAAGCAGTGAGCTGCAGCCCACATAACCATCCATAGAAGGAGGAAGAAGCCGCACAGCTATTTATCGGCATCAGTAGCTTTTCGTGAGTCGCTGTGGGCCATCTATGTCAAGCGCATCTTACTAAAGAGTATAAACAGAGAGAACCCCGCTCAAATTTCTATTCCTATACAAAACAAAAGCTCCTGCAGCTCTTAACAAATAAGATTTATTAAATAAGACCACGTAGTCCTACGTCACCATTGCGTACAACTCCATAGGGCTGTCCCTTGTAGTTTTTTTTGGCGAAGCTGTCTATAAGCAAACATGTCGAAGTCATCGTTTTCCTTGATACCATTTATTAGTTCGACGAGCATCTGGCGGTATTTCAATCTAATTTTCTGAAGTCAAGCGTTGAGTATTGAAACGCATGGATCTCCGGTTTACGGTCGACAAAGGCACTCGAATTTTACTGCCCGTTAGTGATCTGTATCCATGTTAGACCCTCTACACGTCCTGATGTCTTAGCGGAATGTCTAGAACGAATGCCACCATTTGTTTTCCTCGTAGACTGTACCGTTGGACGTCTTCGCCAGTTCCTTACTAAAAATTGTTTCTTTACAAAATTGCGTTAATTTGCAGCACTACGCTGTGAAGTCAGGATGCATATTTAGTTGAGGTAAACAAACAATGCATCAATCACCAGATGACTCATTGAGTTTAAGATTCAGTTTATACACATCCCCGTACGTTCATATAACAAGCGTTTCCTAATCCCCAATACCCCGTATTTGTTGCGTCCTCTGAATAACCATGCAATCCCTTGTTAAAAAATAGAGAAGACCTTTAACCTAGCTCTCAAACCACACCGTTTCTAATCTGGTTTCATTGTTATGTTACCTTCACACATTCAAACCCACACACACACTTTAGTGTTTCAAAGTGTGGCCTATTCAGGTAAGTTGCCCAGTATCAGTCCAAGTCGGTGAACGAACCTACTAGATCTTCCGAGTTGATATTTAAAAAAAAAAATATGGAAATGTGTGTTGTTGAGTTGTTGATGTTGACGAAATAGACGATCTGTGTTCTGGAGTTCTGTGTTGTCTTTCGTTCTATATTTTTTCTTTATAGGTTCATAGTGTGACATACATACATACTTTGTTGCATTGATCTGAACTGTGGACTGACAAAAATGTTTCGTTTGAATTGCTATCTGCTTTCATACAATGTGTTCAAATCAATCTCAAAACAACACAACAGCAACTACAAAACCAATTGCCTGGGTCAAACCAACAGCAACACAGAAAAAACAAATCCACAAAGATCAGAATATTCAGTTGTAGAACTTTTGCATCGAACTCTATCAATCTTCATTTAGTAGCATAGAAACTTTCCGGCTAGATTCGATCTGTCCTTACTCTAGTTTACATTTTAGAGAAAGTTGTATGTGACTGATACCAACATCACTTTAGGAAGGATACTAAAATACAGAACAACAAACCACAATTCGGCCACACTTACTCTTCCCAAGCATACTTGATGAGAAATAGCTAAGCGAAATTCAAACCCGATAAACCACGAATCACGTGTCAACATACCTACAACTTATTGAGTTTGGCTTTCAGTGTGTGTCAAGTTGGAAGCTATCCTAGCGTGTTCCTCTCTCTTTCTCTTTCACTCTCTCTTTCTCTCTCTCTCTGTTTATCCTAATCATAATTTCTCAGTTGTTTCCGTTTGCCTCGCGTGCTGATTGTATTTTCAGTTGATTCCAAACCATCATCCTTTGACTGATGGCGCAACGTGTTCAAATTGCCTTTTATGTTCTTTGATTCTATCTCTGAGTGATAATCGTTACACATTAAAGCAGTACATGCAGTATGCCGGAACGGGTTCAGGTTGCGATCGTTTTTGATATGATTTTTCATTCGGTTTTTTCCTTCCCGCAGTTATGGCTTACATGGAAATCTTCGGCAGTGCAACGCAGAACCAGGAGTTTATGCGACACTCGGTACATACGTACAACCTGTCGCCTCACTCCGGCAGCGAAGGACAACAACAGCATCTTCAGCTTCATCATCATCAGCAGCAGCAACACCATCAGTCATCGTCGACGACGGTGTCGATGACGAGTGGGACTAGCAGTCACAGTCTCAATCACAGTCAGACGATGAGGTAAGTCGTTTCTTGGAGTTTATATTGTCTCCGAAGATAACAACCATCGGATTAATCTCATTTCAGTCTATCGCCATCGCGCAACACTGCGCCTCCAATTTCGCCGCCAAGCTCTCCAGGCTTGAACGTGAAACCGCCGGCTCTGCCTCCGAAACGGCAGCGCATCAACAGTAAAACACCGAGCATCACCTCGACCCCGCCAGCTAGTCCCAAGGTTTTCGGCGGCTCCGATCACCAGCATCAGCCATCATCTCCATCACCATCGTCACAGTCCCAGCATCACAACAGCTGCTCATCGCCCTCGCCATCGTCGACATCCGTCGGTACTCTACTACCGACACCTCCGCCAAAGAACCAATCCCTGCTGATATCCAACAACGATCTGCATCAGCCACCATCGTCACCGGCAGCCGTAACCAAAATCAAGGTACCGTCTGTGTCCGGAGACGATCCGCACCAGCCATCGTCTAATCGTAGTACTACTCCTACCACCACCCCTCTTACTACTTCTACCACCCACAACGCTTCCTCCAACTCTCAGCAACAGTATAACAGTTTCCATAACAGCTGCAGTAGCCATAACAGCCATAACAAGTTAGCTAGCAATAACATCCACAACGCGAACAACGTTGGCGGCGGCGGAGGTAAGCCGTCTTCGTCCGAGGACGATTATCTGCTCCTGTGCGACACAACAACGACGGCACACCAGCATCCGCGGTCCCCATCAGATGCCGGTGGCGTAGCGACGAATCTCAATAGTTCTAGTAACAGTAGTAATCTAGTCAACAGCAGCAATAACAGTACCACCACGGGCGCCCGTCCCAGGAACAAGGAGGACAACGTCAACCACGACGACCGGGACGATGACGACGGCGAGGTTGAGGTGGTACTGCGGCGCAATAACAAGGTGCTTAGAATAGTTTTCTTTCTCTTTCGACTTTCCACTAACGATTGTGGTGTTTGTGTGTGTGATTTGTGATGGGTCTTTTCTTTTTCTAATGCTCTTTGGTTTCTGGGGATGTTTGTGCTTTGTTTGTTGAAATTTCCAACGTCGTGGGAAGGCGTCCATCTCCTTAATGCGGTTTTTTTTCGAGGAAATTTGATAGTATTTATAAATTATTTTGAGATTTTTTCTTCTAGAACCACGAGAAAAGTAGCCAACATTTGTGCGTTTCATAAAAAGAAATAATAGAAATTAGTTGGCCCAGTTTTGTGAAATCGCTGGTAGAAATTCACGCCAAAATTGCTTGACAAAGTGGTCAATTCCATCCAAACACATTGAAACGTCATTGCGCAGTGGTCCAGAAATACGAGCGAGGGAATAAAGTTAATCACCCATATTCTTGTTTTCGTTCGAACCGTATTTTCCATACAAAAAACTTTTTTTTTGTATGGAAAATACGGTTTGAACGAAAACAAGAATATGGGTGAATAACTCCAAAACGAATTATTTAAGTGAACTTGTATCTTCGACAATGTTGTTTTAGAATAAAAAGTGCTATCTTTTAGTAATAATATTATTTTACTAAACTTGTACTAAACTGCTGTTCAAAATGTATCTTTTTGTTTCTTCATCCAGAGAGTTTAAGCCGTTGTTGTTCATTAATCAAAATTTTAAAACTCTTTCCAAGACGTTAAAATCGCTGCGTTCTCAGTTTCATCCCGACCATAACGAAAATAACAGTCTGAAGCGGTAATCATATTGTGAATGCAAAAATGATTACAAAGTTATCTTCATCAGCTTGTCGCTCGTTCTCCCACGAACTTGGAAATTTCCTAGCATATAGTTTAGACAGTTTGTTTTCTTGTTGTATGGTTTTGGGAACACTGTAAATTCCCGTTTGACAGAACCCCTTGTCATCCAACACTACCGATTCTAATAATGCTCTCCCAAACTCCAACACAGAACGGCATCACGCTGATCGAACAGCAACAGTCGATCAATCTGATGGAAGAACTGGACATCAGCAACTATCTGGTCTTCAAGAAGGAGAACGAAGACGGCCCGGACGTGAAGGGTGGCCATCCGGATGCCCTAATCATCCACGCCACCAAGGTGCAGAAGATTTCCGACGGTAAGTAACCTGGCTCGACCATGTCCCTTTTGAATTTAGTTCAAGTTTTCTTTTCCACAAAAAAAAAAACGACACATGTCGGCGCTACATTTGTTTCCAAAAAAAAAAACGATATATAAATTGTTTGTTTTTCTGATTGGTCTTTTTTGAAACTTTTTTCTCTCGTTTTTCGCCCCGCCTTTCTAATTATTGCTCACCAATTCAATAACTACACCACCACCACCACCACCACCACCACCTACGTGCGCACTGATTGTTGCAAATATTTCACCGTTGCTCACTAACGAAACACCTCCACCTCATATCCAATAAAATCAATTCAAATCAAACCACAAATCACGTTTCACCTGCCACAAAAATAAACCAAAAAAATACATTTGAACTTATCAGTCACTGATGAGTTTTTAGAGGACGGTAAGCGCCCGAAACCCGGTGCGAAACAGCTCATGCTCTTTCACTATCACTCTTTTTTTTGTGTTTGAAGCCACCATTGTCGATTGTCGTTGAAAAATAGTCATTGTTGAGTAGTTGTGATATTTACTTTTTTTCGTTTACTTTTTTTCAATGAAACGAAACATCTGTGATTCTGATGTCATCAGAACGTGTATTTTACGCATTTTCTGCCTAGGTTATGTTCTTTTGTTAGCATGTTAGCATTCTTCGGCATGTGTTCAATTCTTAGCTAGATGATTATCACATGTTGATGGATCTTTTCATTTTATTTTTTTTGTGGTTTTGCGGCTCATATGACCTATGATTGGTCGCATCTATTGCTAGTCATGGCTCAAGATTAGAGTCTATGCGTTAAGTAGTTCTGTATTCTTTTGCTTTCTAGTTTTGTTTTAATAAATTATATTTGATAGGTGAAACAGGTTATAATTTGATAGGTAGAATGCTTCTTGTGATGATTTAAATTCGTTTTTTAAGGCCGTTTGACCCAATTAATGATTTAGTCAGGTAAAGAAAAAAATCAAAATAATTAATCGCATAGTCGATCAGTAACGATCAAACGGCGTTGGCCCAAACACGTACGGTTTTTCAGTTTTTATCAACATTCAGTTTTGAAAAAGTTATTTCCTCAGAAACATATGTCGGTCTTGAACAATCGTCGGTCACTGTTGTTGTTCTAATGTATGGAGCTTGGGGGCTTAGTGGAGACCGTTTTTGCTTACTGAGCACAATAGCATGGCCCCTTTACACTGGGATGGGATGATAGGGTCGCATAGATATTTTTTCCTCGCACACAACCACACGGTTTATCAAACCGTTTACCTGTTCTGATAAGTGATGGAAAAGTTCCCGAAATGTCCCTGATTCATCGCACCAGCGAAAATGCAACATCGATATCGACAACGAAAAAATTAGCCAGAGAAAAAAATTGTCGATCATTTCTCTTTTGCAATCACAGCTTTAAGGTTTTGATTAATATACGTACTGATGGAAGACTAATGTTTTAAGCGTTTTGACGTTGTAAAATTGCCTTTAATAGCATTTGCAGGTTTTTCATCAAAATGAACTTTTTGCGGTACGATGCGAGTGAGCCGAAATAACATTAATTTTTCGTTCGGAAACTTTGTCTGTACTTACACGGCCGATGAGATCAACTCAAAATTGAGTCGGATTTCACGCAAATTGTACAAAATGTGGTTACTCACTGTGTGAGGAATATTTTCCTCGATTTTCTTTGAATATCTGCTCGAATATGAGGTAAATTTAAGATAAGTCCATTTTTAAGACGTTTCGAGGGAACTTCTGGAAAGTTTTGAGAGAACTATTGACCAGTGCGAAGGAACTACTGGGCTGTTCTGAGGGAACTGCTGGGACACCAGGCGAACTTATTCACGGAACTTCCGAGAAGGTTTCGAAAGCTCTGAGACGTTTACTGAACTTTCAATAGAAGTTTCTTGAGCTTCGGAGACATTCGCGGAACTTCCTTGAAGTTTATTATTATTATTATTATTTATCTTTATTAGGGAGGCTTTCAGCCTTGGGCTGGTTCGCCTCCAAAACTCCTTGAAGTTTATGAAATATTTGAATGGTTCACAAATCTCAATAAAGTACTAGTAAGATTCTCTCTTAGAACTTTTATCAAATTTGTAGAAGTTTCAGGAGCTTTAGAGGAGTTTACTGAATTTCCGAGTAGTTTACGATACTTCCGAGTGACGCACGGAGCTCCCGAGAAGTTCACAATACATCCAAGAAGTGCACGGAACACGGAATATTATGATTTTTCATTGGATGCTATAGAACCTTACATAATCTTGTTCTAAGAACTTTCGAGAAGTTCACACAACTTCCGATACGTTTACAGAAGCTCCGAGCAGTTCACGGATTTATATACAATTTTAGGGAACCTTATTGAAAACGGTAATAGTTTAATAGAAGTGCACGGAACAACCGAAAAGGTCACGGCCCAGGTTCAAACCCAGTCGGTGCCGTTGGGATTACCTGAGGCATAAAATCTCTGATCACGCCTTCCTTCCGTAAGAGCCGTTGGTCCCCGGTCCATGAGTTGTTGGGTCGATAGGTAGGGTCCATGTGTGGGAGCTGCCTCCTTGGCGTCGAAGCATTGGTACTCAGTACGAAAAACAAATCAAGGGAAAAAAATTAACAGAATGTAGAAATTTGTTCATAAATTGAAGCAATATTTGTAGAGAAATCACAAACTTTCCGACAATCTCCAAACTGTAAAACTACACTCAAAAAAAAATTTCACATAAATTTCACTGGAAAAAAAAACACGTAACCTTCAGATATTAAAAACTTTCTGTAAAGTACATGACGTTAATAAAATTGTATGTATGTATGTAAGGTAGCCACCATCCCTTCAAAGATCTTGTATGCAGCTCCACTTAATAGCAAGATCAATTTGAGCTACCGATCTGAATTCACAATATCGCTGTATGAAGGGCCAAAAACGGAGGTGCGGACCCGTAAGCAAAAACACTTACACGAAATCCACGGGAATTTAAGAATCTCCTTCCAACGATACGATCCAACAAATCGAATAACACAATTCGCAATACTTATTAAGCTTCCTACAGGATGGTTTGTAAAGAAGGGCGTCAATCTCACTGAAACTGTTGAAGTAGAATTCACACCACACCGATGGACAAGGAATGATCTCACCCGAACTGGCCGGAGGCTGCTGGGACACATAAGACATATCAGATTTCTGAACAATACAATTTTTATTATTTCGAAAAATAATTTTAAAATTCCTAACAATGCACACTGGGGACAAAATCGAAACAATGTGTTAAAATTCAATATCTTCGGTGCTCGCTGGAACAAGAGGCTAAAAAATAGCCATTCTTATAGAAAAAAAGTCTCAGGAATCGATTGGAGTGGGTTTCATCTTGGGCACGATAGGGTAAGTTGGGGTTTTCCACAGTTTTGCCCTAAAATCTCCTATTTTGCATGATTTGAATGCTGTACCGATGATATAGACGGATGATTTCTTCGGCAAAGTTGATCAGGAGGTCAAGAACTGTTGGATGATGGACAGAACAATTCGGAATTCTTCCGCTAGGCGGCGCTAGTGAGCATTCGAAGTGTATATGTTTGTGCTGCTGTATCTCAAGATCCTGTCTATTTAGACGGATGATTTCTTCGGCAAACTTGATCAGGAGGTCAAGGACTGTTGGATGATGGACAGAACAATTAAGAATTCCTCCACTAGGTGGCGCTAGTGATTATTGCAAGTGAATATATTTGTGCTGCTGTATCTCAAGATCCTGTCTATTTAGACGGATGATTTCTTCGGCAAAGTTGATCAGGAGGTCAAGGACTGTTGGATGATGGACAGAAAAATTCGGAATTCTTCCGCTAGGCGGCGCTAGTGAGCATTCGAAGTGTATATGTTTGTGCTGCTGTATCTCAAGATCCTGTCTATTTAGACGGATGATTTCTTCGGCAAAGTTGATCAGAAGGTCAAGCACTGATGGATGATGGACAGAACAATTCGGAATTCTTCCGCTAGGCGGCGCTAGTGAGCATTCGAAGTATATATGTTTGCGCTGCTGTATCTCAAGATCCTGACTATTTAGACGGATGATTTCTTCGGCAAAGTTGATCAGGGGGTCAAGGACTGTTGGATGATGGACAGAAAAATTCGGAATTCTTCCGCTAGGTGGCGCTAGTGAGCATTCGAATTGTATATGTTTGTGCTGCTGTATGACTATTTAGACGGATGATTTCTTCGGCAATGTTGATCAGGAGGTCAAGGACTGTTGGATGATGGACAGAACAATTCGGAATTCTTCCGCTAGGGGGCACTAGTGATTATTGAAAGTGAATAAATTTGTGCTGCTGTATCTCAAGATCCTGACTATTCTCAAGATTCCTGACTAGATCCTGATCTTCTCTGGCTATTACGTCCCAACTGTAACTTAACGCCTGCTCTCAACTTAGTGCTCTAGATGCACTTCCACAGTTGTTAATTGAAAGCTTTCCAAGCCTGTTCGATTTTTACATGTGTATATTGTGTGGCAAGTACAATAATATACTATGCCCAAGGATGTCGAGAAATTTTCCAATCTGAAATCCTAGACCAACCGGGATTCGAACCCAGCCACCTCCAGCATGGTTTGCTTTATAGTCACAGGCTCTACCGACCGAGCTTATGGAAGCCCCCTGATCTATGAATGTTCAAACTAAAATGCGAGATGGTAGCCTAATTAACAAGTTTTGAGGACAATTTGGTGAACCTAGAACGTCTTAAACATATCAAATTCAAACGTAAATAATGTGCATGATATGTTTAACCCTGTTTGGAGATGTTTTAATACAAAGGGCTTTGAATCAGTGAACCTGGATGAGAATTTGATCTGAACTCAAGGACAATTTGGAGAACCGTGAGTATCTTATACACCTCAAAATCAACTATAAACGAACAGCAGAAACTTTATAAACGTGTTTCGGAAGTTTTGTCGGTGAGATATTCGTGCAGATTTTAGTTGATCCAGTAGATCAAATAATCTGACCTCTAGAACAATTTGAAGAACCTAGAACTTCTAATACACCTTAAATTGATGTTTTTTGGAGATGTTTAGTTGCTAAGGACCTTGTATCAGTTATGATTGATCAGGTAAATCATTTGATCTGAGCTCAAGATAATTTGGAGAACCTTGATTATAAATCAAAATAAATCAAAAACGATCCGCAGAAACTTTATGAACATGTCTTTGCAGGTTTTGTCGCTGAGGACATCGTGCAGTTCATGGTTGAGCCAGTAGATCAAATAATCTGAACTTCAAAGCAACTTGGAGAACCTTGAACATCTCATAAACCATCAATTACAACGAAAATGATGTCCATATAGCTATGGACCTGGGTGCATAAACTGGCAATAATTATAAAAATTTGCCAAAAAAAATTTCATTCTGTTAAAAAATGTCAAAATTAAGCGGAAAATATGAACCTTACTGTTT